AGAGAGAAGTTCCATGAAGACGGGCTCCAGCACGAGTCCGAAAGTTCAGAAGACAAAAACTCGGATCCTGGTGACCGACTCAGATTGGATCCTGCAGCTTCATCCTGGGACACACAAAGTCTATTTGCCTTCATTTCTTTCTTGTCCGAGTTTGACAAAACAGCAATGCAGTGAAACTTTTTGCCTTGACTTTCGTTCTTCCTACAGGCAGTCCTTGACTTACGACTACAACTGGGCTGCAAACTCCTTTCTTGAGGAAAGTGGTCATTACGTGAGGCATCACATGACCACTTTGCTGAAGAACTGCAATTCTGCCCTCACTGTTGCGGTTGTTATTAGCAATAGCACTCCGACTTAGATATATAGGGCTTTAAAGTGCTCTCTGAGCAGATAAACAATGTCAGCATCTTCCCTTCAACGATTTTGTGATTTTTCTGGGTTTCTCCAAAAGAAATAATGTTCTCATCTTCTTTTTTTTTGTTCTGCCAGCAGGAAAACAATTATGACCGAAGATTTACCTTCAAGACGACTAACAAGCGATAGTAGAAGTTCAGCCCCAGGCAGCAGCCAAGGGAAAGCATGAAGCGTGGGAAACGCTTGGATCCCCCGTCAGACGAAAGCAGCACTCCAAGAACGCTCAAAAGAACCCATGAATGCTCAGAGTGCGGGAAATCCTTTGCTCGCAGGTCCCTCCTTTTGACCCACAGGAAGGTCCATGTGGGAAGTGGACCCACTGAAGGTTTGGAGGGTGAGAAATCTTTCTCTGGGAAAAGCTCCAAAGATCTTAGAAGCCTCCCAACACTAAAACCCTATAAATGTGAGGAATGTGAGTTATGCTTTAGTCAAAAGTCGAGCCTTCGTACACATTGGAAAATCCACACTGGAGAGAAACCTTATGAATGTCTGGAATGTGGGAATTTTTTCTGTGAAAAAGCCACCCTCAGAAACCACGAGAGGATTCACACAGGGGAGAAACCTTACAAGTGTTGGGAATGTGGGAAGAGCTTTTCTCAGAACTCAAGTCTTTGGATCCATGAGAAGGTTCATGCGGGAATAAAATCTTACAAATGCTTTGAGTGTGGAAAATGTTTCACCCAGAGTTCAACTCTTCGGAGTCATGAGAAGACACATGCAGGAATAAAACCTTACAAGAGTTCATCTCTTCGGAGCCATCAGAAAACGCACAGAGGGGAGAAA